GCGATTGAGTCCTACTTAGTCGTCTTTCGTTTCGTACTCGTCGATGCCTCGTCATCTGACACGTGGCACCAAACTGGGCCTCTAAGAAGATGTCATCTTGGGCTTAATGAAGTGGGCTCATCACTTTAGCCCAATTAAATGGGCTAGCCCAATGGATTAAGACTTATTTATTTAATCCATATATGTTGGACTTATATAATTAATTCAATTATAATAGCCCAATAAATTTATTTGAACTAATATATCTTGAATTTAAAATATAGTCCAAATTATTTTACTGAATTTAATTCCAATAAAATTTATATGCCTACAAAATATTATGGATTAAATGAACTCGTTGGTTGAATACTATGTTCGCCCCTGAATAATATAAGTCACAATAGTTAACAATTTAAAATNAACTAGCAAAAGCAAACTGGAGAAGCCACTAGAAAATGAAAATACCAAAACTAAGAAGTGAAAATCAAATATGTCTAAACTTCACATAGTTCAGTAGTATGACGAAGAAGTGAAAGTAACACCCAAAGTTCCTAACTAAATTGTTTCCTACATAAATGGAAAGAGAGAAAAAACAATGCAAAAGAAGGTCAGGGGTATAGTTGTAAACAAGCATTTTACTTTTTAAAATTTATATAATGTATATCAATTTCTAATACAACAAACCAAACATTCAAAAAAATAATCTCTGCATAACTAATACCTGCATAACTAATCCCTGCATTACTTATCCCTGCATAACTAATCCCTGCATAACTAATACTTGCATAACTCTAACCGGCAACCAAACGACCCCTTATAGTATACCTTATGAAGAAAAAAAAAGTATAAATCTTACAGTGATTATTCTCGCAGACAAGAATAGCAGGAAGATCCCACAAAGCAGCCATATTCAAAGCCTCAAACAACTGTCCTTGATTAGCAGCACCATCACCATACATCGCGAAAGTAACATGCTCCTCTTTCGAATACTTTTGCGCGAAAGCAAGTCCAATACCTAAAGGAACTTGAGCACCTACAATCCCATGACCTCCATAAAATCCACTCTCCTTCTTATAAAAATGCATTGATCCTCCTTTTCCTTTCGAACACCCATTTTTTCTCCCCATTAGTTCCGCAAATGACTCGTATAACCCTCCGCCACGCCCTAGGAATAAACAGTGATCCCTGTAAGCCGTAATGATACAGTCCTTTTTGGTAATTGCAGCTTCCATGCCTATGGCAACGGCCTCCTGGCCGTCGTAGAGGTGGCAGAATCCGCGGATGAGTTTCGCCTTGTAGAGCGAATCTGCGGCGATCTCCATCCGCCGCATCTCCGCCATGTCTTTGAAGAAAGTCATGAGTTCGTTGGCGCTTGTCTCGACGGTGCGTGACGGAGGATCGATGTTGTGGCCGGTAAATGGAATGCTAGTCTCGACGGTGATGGTGTCGGACGATAGGCGGCGCGTGGCGCATATGGCGGCGGATAATGGCTTTAGAAGGTGGTTAACCGTCCGATTTGTGGATAAAGCCATTCTGATCGTTGAATTGTTGTGTGATGGGAATGGTTGATTTGGTAGATGGAGAAGAAGGGGGTTTGGTGAGGGAAGAAGAAAAAAGAGAATCCCAGCAGCCTACTGAACCCGGAAAGAATTGAAGTTTTTCCCTTAACGACTTGTTCTTTTTTTTTTTTAATTTCTATCATATAACAATACTATAAACATTAAATAAATCAACCAAAACATAAAGACAGCATTACATATGACTATTAAGTTGTCCCAAAAGCTATTCAGTGTAAACTTCCCACTTTTTAAACTCAAATTGTCCCTTAAGTTAGAAGGTATGCTTATTTTAGTCCTTATTCAATGAGCAGATAAGCTTTTTAAGTTTGCAAAAGCTAAGCACATCTAGTCCAATTGACGGAACAAAATTGTCAGTTGTTTTCATGTCGCTATTGTATAAACGATTCCGATAGAGATCGACTTCTCCAAATTTCATTTTTTTCCTCTTATTTCTGCACTAAGAAAGAAAAAGTGAAGATAATAGAATCACTGTAAAAATCAGAAAAAAATGTTGATAATGAAGATAAATCACGACAGGGACAAAAATATGAAATTGGGAAAGAAGGCCTCGATGAAGATTGTTAATTAATTAGCTGGCCATGTAAAATACATACTTACTATGTTATTTCAGTTAGTTCTAAATGATCGTCACTTGGAAGTTTCTTCAGTTGGACCAAAAATGCTAGAAGCTGTAATAAGCTTAAAGGATCAATTTAAGCTTAACGTAATATAATAGTGAAAAAAACAACCTTTACTCCCAAACTCAGTGGATCATTTGGGTAAAAACTCGAAAAATTCCTATGGGGTCAGCTACTTAGCTAGCGTTTGGCCATAGATCCCAAATTTATTTTGAAAAATCGGATTTGGGTGAAGTTTGGTTTGAAGATGAAAATGTGTTTGGACATACGTTTTCAAAACATATTTTCCAATTTTATTTTGGAAAAACATGTATATAATTCCTAAGTTTTGGGATTTTGGCTGGGATTTGAAATTTGGAATTTGGGATTTGGCCAAAATATGGGCAAAATTTATGGCCAAACATGTGTTTTGAAAATAAATCCCAAATTTATTTTGGCAAAACTCATGGCCAAACGGGGCCTTAGTGTTGCCAAAGCTATGAGACATCGTTCAACGCGGAAATACATTTTCTTACTTTTAAGTGTTAAGTTAATCCAATTACAATACCTTAGTGAGAAAATATATAAATTACTCCCTGCGTTTCATTTACGTGAATATTTTCACAGTACAAGGTCAAATCGACTAAGTTTTATATAAATTCGAACACAGATTTTCCAATTTTTTAACTTTTTTTTTTTTGTACATATTTGGAAACTACATAGAAAGTAATATCATAGGAGGATCCATGATTTAAATCCTATGGGTTCAACTTTTAAAGTTTTTAGCATTAAACCTATTATATATTTAAAAGTTATGGGTTCACATATACTATTTTTGCAATTTTAATAAATTTTTATATATAAATTTACTCTGCGTCAAAAGTGTAGACAATAAATTTGTGTCGTGAAAATAAAATCAAGACCAAAAATATCGCAACAATCATAGTATTTTGTGTCGAATATTTGAGTGTTACAATCTTTATGATTCCTTTGATTCTACTTTTCTAGTATAAATTCAAGAGCCTTCGAGCTTGATCTTGAATTTGAATTTGATTTATCCGTCGTGAACACTTTGATTGTTGCCACGAATTTTATCACAAACAAGTAGCCTTGATCTTGAACGCCTTGTATTTGATTTGACTTTGTTCTTGATCTTGAATACTTGAATTGTTCTTCATTCTTGAGCTTGAACTTGATTCATTCTTCGTTCTTAAACTTGAACTTGGTTGCTTGAAGCCTAAAACTTGTATAGAAATTTGCGGCATTTGATCCACGAGCTCTCTCTTGCTTCTTGCTATAACTTCTGGTCCCTTTTCTGGGTTATGAAGACCCCTATTTATAGCTGTGGAAGGGATGAGTCATGATTAGAACAAACTCTTTCCGACAAATCAAATTGAAGTGTGTCATGGCCGCATTTGATTGGCCAGAACATGTCACTTGCACACGTGGCGCGATTTCATTGGTCTTTTAGTGTGACTTGGCATGCTTTGTCATTTTGACACGTGACATGATCCTATTGGCTCTTCCGTTTGACTTGGCGCGTTACGTCATCTGACACATGGCACCAAATTGGGCCTCTAGGAAGATGTCATCTTGTTAAGGTCTTTTGACTTTTGAAGACTAGGCTTGAAGTATTCGTATTAGTACACACTTGAACTGGCTTTGACTTAAATCATATGAAATGTTAAAGCATTCGAACTTTAAATTTCATAATCACATGCCTCAATCACATGGAATGTAAAAGCTATTAAATTTTAATTGCCAAAATTACTACTGCACACTGTTATGTGGGTTTCCATTTTGAAAGACTTCAAAATCAATAGCTTTACCATATTATACTTCAAGGAATGGTTGCTGACATAAGCAACAGTTCTAATATATGTTGTTGCATGCTCACGCGATTTAATGAAATCACGACAACTTTTCCCATTAGGAATAGAAGACTTTCGCCGCCTAGGACTTCTCCTTTCCAACCAGATTAAGATATCCAATTCTTTCTAACAATTAGCAATCCCACATCGTTATTAGTCATCTTAAGAGCCGCATCACTGCACCTATAAATAGGTCATGCATTTCATTCAGTTGGCATCAATTGCTGTGTTTGCAGTCCACATCGAGTCTACCTTTCACGATTCGGATGCATTAACGCGAAGGTATTCTTCTTCTCTTGTGCTTTCTTTCTTGTTTTACTTGTTGTCTCTTTTTTTTCCTTTTAGAAGTAACTTCATCAAACTACGAAGTCCTTTATAAGTTCGAGACGAAACGCCTTTAAAAGATTATGATGAAGATCTTTAAAATTTGCGGCGGCAAACCATAAAAGTTCACGATGAAGACTTTTAAAATTTGTGGCGAAGACCCATAAAAGTTAGCATAAAGATCCTTAAAAGCTCGTGGTCAAGACCTCTAAAAGTTCACGATGAACACCTTTAAAAGTTCGTGGTAAAGACCTTTAAAGGTTCGCGGTGAAGACCCATAAAAGTTCGCGTAAAGATCCTTAAAAGCTCGTGGTCAAGATCTTTAAAAGTTCACAGTGAAGACATTTAAAAGTTCTCGGTGAAGACCTTTAAAAGCACGTGATGAAAACCTTTAAAGATTCGTGGCGAAGACCTTTAAAAGTTCCCATAAAGATCCTTAAAAGCTCGTGGTCAAGATCTTTAAAAGTTCACGGTGAAGACATTTAAAAGTTCGTGGTGAAGACCTTTAAAAGCACGTGATGAAGACCTTTAAAGATTCGTGGCGAAGACCTTTAAAAGTTCGCATAAAGATCCTTAAAAGCTCTTGGTCAAGATCTTTAAAAGTTCACAGTGAAGACCTTTAAAAGCTCGCGGTGAAGACTCTTAAAAGCACGCGACAAAGACGTTTAAAAATTCGTGGCAAAGACCCTTAAAAGCTCTTGCAAATACCCTTAAAAGCTCGAAGTCAAGATCTTTAAAAGTTCACCATGAAGACATTTAAAAGCTCGCTGTGAAGACTCTTAAAAGCACGCGACGAAGATGTTTAAAATTCGCGGCGAAGCCCATAAAAGTCCGCGATGAAGACCTTTAAAATTTGTGGCGAAGACCTTTAAAAGCTCGTGTAAAGATCCTTAAAATCTCGTGGCCAAGATTTTTTAAAGTTCGCGGTGACGACCTTTAAAAGTTTGCGGTGGAGACCTTTAAAAGCACGCAATGAAGACCTTTAAAAATTCGTGGTAGAAATCTTTAAAAGTCGGCAATGGGGACTCTTTATAGTTTTCCACGAGCACCTTCACAAGCACTTTTAAAAGTTCGAAACATACGTCTTTTAAAAGTTCAGAACGAAACCTTAAAAATCCGAATGCCTTTAAAAGTTCGAGACGAACACCTTTAAAAGTTCGCAACGAAAACCTTTAAAAAATTCGAATGCCTTTAAAAGTTCAAGTTGAACACCTTTAAAAGTTCGCAATGAAGACCTTTAAAGATTCGAATGCCTTTAAAAGTTCGGGATGAACACCTTTAAAAGTTCGCAACGAAGACCTTGAAAAAAAAGTCTGACACAGACATCCCTCTTTTATAAGGGCAGTGAGCGGATATGAAGACCAACAAACTTGAAGGTTATGCGAACATGAAGACATAGTCCCCAGATTTTGATGCAAATATTGTCATCATTTCAGTGAAGATACCATTTTACCATAGCAACTTGCCTCCATCAAATCAAATGGGGTCCAAATTTCAACAGGAGGATGACGTTTCAGCTTGATTTTACATTCCTTTCATACTTCACTCAGACAACAATTGGGGCACTATGTATCTTTTGAACTTATGCCACTGAACTTAGAATGAAACTCTAAGTTGCCTACGTACCTCGGTGAAGAGGATCAAGTCATACCGTAGTTCAAATTGGGTGATTTTTTTTTATGTCCTAACTTTTGCCTAGGCCGCCTCTTTCGAAGTTTCAACCTAGCGGACTTTTTTTTTGTAGGGGCCGTACACAGTTTAGACTCATGCGGGCCAGGAGTGTAGCAACATGCAGTTTAGGCTCGTGCGTCAAGGAGCGTTGCAAATACAAGGATAATACTTCTTTAAAAACATGCCATTGATAGGGCCAATTCTCATGCCATCTGCATCAACCAACTTGTAAGCCCCACTTAAGTAAGCTTCTTGTACGACATATGGCCCATAGCATTTTGAAGTGAACTTCCCTACAGGTTTATGGGAAGTAATTATGGGTCTTCGTACGGCAAGGACTTGATCTCCTACTTGAAAGGATCTCGGGCGAACTCTTTTATTGAAGGCGCGAGATAATCGAGCTTGATAACATTCAAGAGTCTGTTGAGCTTCCAACCTCTTCTCATCAAGAGCCTCCAACTCTGCTAATCGAAGTCGAGCATTTTCTTCATTAGTAATCCCTTCTTGAATAGCCAGTCGTAACGAAGGTATTTGACGCTCAAGTGGCAAGACGACTTCGACTCCATAAACGAGTAAATAAGGAGTTGCTTGTGTTGGCGTGCGGTGAGTCTTCCTATATGCCCATAGAGCTTCTTCCATACGGTCATTCCAATCTCGTTTGGATTTGGA